TGAAAGTCATCTGTCAAAATGCGTTGTTCTTTACTTTTAAGCAATACAAAAGTAAATAAGACAAGTGGAACTGATATAGAACGTCCCTGGGGAGAAGCAGAATGAAACAATCTTCTCATTGATTGAACAGCAATAGGATTTTCCAAAATTTTACTGTGTATGATGATGAGATGCTTGAAAAGGGCAAAGGAAAACAGCTGAAATATTGTAAAAGTAGTCCAGATACATTTTTCAACACTTGTGATTTTTGTATGAGTGTCTAGACATCAAAGTTTAAAAAATAAAAATTTAAAAAAATATGTATCTGCAGCTGGTTTTTTATACATGTATGTAAGAAATTTTCAAATATCCTTCGGTTCTACATTTGCTGATTGTTTATGAGGGACAATAGTGTTTGGTGGGTACAAAAGATATAGGTAATTATTTCAACCATGTCATTGCAAGTCGACTGCTGCAAAAATGGAAGAGAGACTTTGCAGATTCAAAAACAGAGCCACAAGGCATTTAACTTTTCATTAAAGAATCTAATGCTGCAGACTGTAGAGATGTTCATCCATAAAATTTTCATTCTCCAAATACCATCCACTATTCCATTTGCCTCAAACTGCATGAAAATATATTTGTCATACGTGTTTCCAAATAATGTGTGTGTGGTGGTCCCTTATTTCTGTATTTTTATTCCAGAATTTTCATTCATGAGGAAAAAAAACCATTGCCCTTATTAATAGGACATTTTTAAGAACTTTATCATTTTTTATCAAACATTATTTAGGATTATTGTACAATAATTCATGTTTTTTTTTTTTATATCCATTTTATGCCCCTTTACCAAGTATTAAACATTCTTTTGCTATGATGCATCATTCCAAAGACCAGGGCTAATCCAGATATTTCATTCAAGAGGTATTTGCCCCCACTTTGTATTCCACTTGAGATATTTAAGAACTTTATCATTTTATACCAACTTATTTAGATTATCCTAACAAATTATCTTTTTTTTTTAATCATTTTTTTTCCATGCAAAAGAAAAAGCCACTATGATAATTGTAGAATAACAATACAATAAACGACACTTTTCTCATTCAAGAGTTCCAGCTAGCATCCAGCTGACAGACAAAAAATAAAGCAGGTTGAAACTTAATACAAAACCCTGCAAACTAACTGAGAAATTCAAGCTGGTATTTATATAGAAATATTTCCACTCAGGTACCAGCAGCCAATCAAACCCCAAGCAATGGACTATCCCACTTTAGCATAATGAGATGCTCCATTGCACCATAAATAACTCTTTTTCTCAATGTTGAATCAGTCTTCACTCAGCTTGCTCCACAACTGAGTGTTTATATTTAAATAGATTGTTCGATAAAACAGGGGTTACTGAGGATGAAAAAGATATGAATAAAATGATAAAATATCGAATGGTATTTCAATTTTGAAGGGTCATAGCAGATGATAGAGAATTGAAGAGAGTTTTTTTTTTTTAAGTGATTACAGAAGAAGCTGTAAATTTCAATACATCCATGAACAGTTCAAATCATCCAACAATGAGACCTATGCTGCCAAAATAGTACTTGATTAATAATGCAATTTCAACTGTTCTGAAAATCGAGGGATCAAAGTTTGAAAAATTTGAACAATAACAATTTGAAAATATTTATAGAAAAGGCACGGGGATGGTAATGGAGTTTTCCGGTGGAAAAAAAATTGTCTGACGATAAAATATATTCAAAAAAAATACTGCCTCTTTAAGATGATTGAAGGTTTTAAAGATTTATATCACTTAATTTTGTTTTTTTGTTCCACCCTTCATTTTTTTTTTTTTTTTTTTTTTTTTTTTAGTAATGGGCATTTAATTTAATTGAAACCCCAAACAAATTTCAAAACATCTCATTAAATATATTCTACATTTTTATATCAAAATGACCAACAGTACATTTCTTTTAGCAAAATGACCAAACAATACATTTTTGATAGTAAAATGATCAACAATACATGTTTATAGTAAAATGACCAACAATACATTTTATAGCAAAATGATTAACAATACGTTTTTTAAATGCAAAATTGACCTTGAATTTTTACATTTTTTATTTGAAATGACCAACAATACATTTTTTTTCGTAAAATGATCAACAATACATTTTATCTGTAGTTGAATATGGAATTATTTTAAAATATATTTATGTGAAGCAAAATTATGCATAAAACCATTTTTTATTTTTGGTTGATATGCCGCTGCAATAAAAAACAATCAATCAATGGCATTTGAGAATATTATTTAGCCGTGATGCCAGATTAAATTTGGTTATAACATTACTTTGTTCATAACAACAGTTTTAATAAATATTTTATTATTATATCATTTCCACTAACTTCGAGTTTTCACTGACTGACCCTTAATAATTGTGAGTTCAATCCCTGGGTCGGGAGGTTTGTCCTTGGACTCAGTGGTGATTGATGGGCTATAACTAAATAGTACTAAAAATATGAACTAGAGATATCCCGAGAGATGGTCAAAACAATGGATGGATAACAACAGCAAAATGAGGTTTTTCTGAAAAGGGTAAATAAGCAAAAAATAAGTTTTTTATTTTTCTTTTTGAAGGAAGATTGTTGTTTAGTACGCCCTCAAATAAAATAACCTTTTTCTTTTTATCTGCCGAGTCTCTTCAGGACGTAGTCTTATAAACCACAATATATCTCCTCCTTGCCCTTGTTCCTTCTAATCAATTTTTTGTCCCTTTGCTATTTTGCAGGCCATTTTCTTTTTTAAACTTTACCATGTTATTAGGTATTTACTGAATTTATTTTTCTTTTTTCTCTTTTCAATATTCGGCCTGTGAGTATCAAGAGTTTTAAAGCCCTCCTTTCTCATTATTTGTCCCAATACATTTCTATTGGGGGTCCTGATGTTAAGTATAAGGGTTCCTGTTTTTTGCATCATCTCCAAAACCTCATCATTGCTAAATAATGAAAGCTCAATTGGCTTCCTCAGCATTCTTCCTGTAAAACCATTTCCTAATCACTTTGTCTCTTTTTAACCTTATTCAAAAATAGCCCTGTCGGCTAACGCTGTAGAATTCCTTTTTAACCTCTGTCCTGGGTATGACCAACTTAATGGGGTGTCCTGAGTATGACGATAAACTACATCCAACAGCAAGGCCTCTGATCAGGTTTTGAGGAGCGTGGAACCACCTCTTAACTGCTGTTGTTCCCAGGTTCACCCTGACCCGGGGTGGAAGCACCTGTTAGGGTCCCAGCTATAGGCAAATAGTTAACCCCCGAAACTGAGGTAAAAAGCATTATAAAAGCATAAAAATAGGTTTTAATACCAAAAATACTTTGTAAAAAATTATTACCAGAAATAAATTTTTGAAGAAAAAAAAAATATTATCAGCAATACATTTTCGAAAAAATAATATTACCAGCTATACATTTTTGAGGAAAAAAATATTACCAAAAATAGATTTTTGACAAAACAAAATATTACCAGGAAAAAAAAGTTGGTGACATTAAATGACCCATTGAGGTTTTGATATGCCGTAAAACACAACAAACCAAACCAATCTTTTATGTGTTGTAACCCTTCCGGATGTAGGCGATAATGGCTCTCCACAAAATTTTTATGAATTTGTATTGATAGCAATAAATTTTCGTTTCATAAAAGTCTCTTCCTGATGTTAAATATAATTTTGCTTTTTATTTCCATTTTCTCGGAAACCTCATTGTTGTTCATATAGCTCTTCTAATTATAACTGATGTCCATATTTTTTTCCTCTCACCTACACATATAATTCCACCAATAACGGACTCTACTTCAGGCCTTGATACAACAAAATATGTCAACCAATATGTATGGCTTACATAGAATCACCGAAGTTAAGCAAAGTTGAGACCGATCAGTACCTAGATGGGTGACTGCTTGGGAATATAAGCTTGGATGTGCAGGTGATGTAATAGATATTTTCTACAAAATTTCTCCAATATTCAAGCTGGTAATTGTAATTAATATGGTCTATTTAAAAAACAGAACATTTAAAATAAAAAAAGAATTTTTTGAAATACTCAGTTAACAAAATGGTTATATGTTTTTGAAATTTTGGGAAAATATGACCAACAATATTATTTTTCATAGTCCAATGACCAATAGTACGTTTTACCAGCAATATTTTTTGAAAAAATATTACCAGCAATAAAGGTTTTTCAATAATATTACCAGATATACATTTTTGAGGAAAAAAATATTACCAAGAATCGATTTTTGATGAAACAAAAAATTACCAGGAAATAAATTGTCAGCATTAAATAAAATTTGAGGTGGATATGTGTCTGAGATGAAAAAAACCAAACCATCTACTCCTCAAAACCTCCTGATCAATCCTTGCTGTTGCATGTCCCTATCATCCTTAAAAAGGTTTGTTGTTGATGATTGCCTTTCATAAATCCTGGAAGTTTTAACCAACACATTTCATTCTCAGAGAAGATCTCTGCATAAAACATCTGGCACCCAGGATTAATCTCACCTTATTTTGCAGCGGAAATAACATGTTCAAATTTTTTTTTTAAAAATTAGAAAGATGAAAATTCAAATTCCATCCACATTCCTTTTAAACAAGGCTCGAATAAATGCTACTGAGAAAAAGGAATCAGATATTTAAATCTCATACAGACAACCATGAAAAGAAAACAAGACTCAACAATAAACTCCTTGAAAATGGCTAAAGTGAAACAATATAGACATTATGAAAAAGATCAAGAACCACTGATCTCATTGGATGACTTAACTGACTTCATTCGTCTTTCTATCGCTTTTGTTTTTATCCGTGTTGTTTTCTTCTATTTTTACACTGTCATTTACACTGTCATTTACACTGTCATTTACACTGTCATTTACACTGTCATTTTTACACTGTCATTAGTTCTGTGCATACATTAATTCCTTGGCAGACTTGTTCAATGAAACATGTATTAAAGAGGGATTGTTGCCCAAATACGCCACTATGCATTTCTGTCTATCTGTCACATTCTGCTCATATCTATCTACTATCCATCTATCTATCTTTTCATATCTATCTATCACACTCTCTTCATATCTATCTCGGTCCCTTCATATCCATCTATCTCTCTCTATTAATCTGTTCATATCTGTCTCTCTCAATCTATTCATATCAATCTGTCCATATCTATCTATCCATCTATCATACTCTCTTCTTAATCTATCTATCTATCTATCTAAATCTGTTCTTATTTACCTATCTATATATCTCAATTCCTTCATAAAATAAATCTCTATTTTTCTGACTCAAAATTACTTTCTCTCTTAATAGATTCCATAAACTCTGTTCATATATATCTATCTATCATTCTAAAATAAAAATCTTCTCTATTTTCTGTTTATTTTCAATCTTAATCTATTTGGTCAATATTCATATCTATCTAAATATATATTTATCTATCAATATATATCATATCTATCTAAATCTATTTTTTATCTATCTATCACAAATTATCATATCTATTTAAATCTGTTCTTATTTATCTATCATCAATCTTTATTTATCTAAATCTAAAGAAAAAAAAATATAACATTCATATCTATCTAATTTGTTCTTTCTATCTATCTATCTTCATATCTATCTAAATCTATCTTATCTTCTATCTTCTTTTCATATCTATCTATCTAAATGTCTTTTCTAAAATTTGACAATTCTATCATCTGTTTGTTCTTTATCTATCTAATCACCCCATTCATCCCTATCTAAGATCTATTCTTATCTATCTAAGGATATTTCTAAATCTAATTAAATCTGTTTTTATCTATCTATCATCTTCATCTCTTCATATCTTTCTAAATCTATTTCTTCTAAAAAGATTCTATTAATTTTTCTTCAAATCTATCTAAATCTGTTCTTATCTATCTCTATCATCTATTTCATATCTATCTTAATCTATCTGATCTATCTATCTCCTTCATATCTATCTTCAAATCTGTTCATTATATATCTATCTAGCATATATTAGATTTCTTTTATCTAAAAAGTAATCTAATCTATCTATCTATGTTCATCTATCTATCTAAATCTATCTATCTATCTAAGTATCCTGTTCATCTATCTAAATCTATTCTTATCTATCTATCATTACACATCATATCTATCTCTATCTATTCTTAATATCTATCATTTATCATCTCCTAAATTCATTTATCTATCTATCTATCTATCTATCATTATCTATCTAAATCTGTTCTTATCTATCTATCTATCTCATATCTATCTAAATCTGTTCTTATCTATCTATCACACTCTTCATATCTATCTAAATCTGTTCTTATCTATCTATCACACTCTTCATATCTATCTAAATCTGTTCTTATCTATCTATCTTCATATCTATCTAAATCTGTTCTTATCTATCTATCATTGATTCAATATCTATCTAAATCTGTTCTTATTTATCTATCTTTGGTTCATTTCTATCTATCTAAATCAAATCTTATCTATCTATCTATTCTATCATCTATCTGTCTTCTATCTATCTATCACACTCTTCATATCTATCTTATCTATTTCTTATCTATCTATCAAACTTTTTTCTTTCTATCCTAAATCTGTTCTTATCTATCTATCAAAATTCATTCTATCTTTCTAAATTTATTTATTATCTATCATCTATTTAATCATATCTATTTAAATCTGTTCTTATCCCTATCTATCACAATCTTGTTCAAATTCATTTCTTATCTTTTTTTCTTATCTGAATTATCTTCTATCTATCTATCTTGTCTGTCAAATTATCTATCTAT